GGTACGTTGAAAGGAACATGAAACAAATCGTCGCTGTATACTATCACTGATATTGGACAACTTGTTGAAGTAAAGCAATCAATACAAGCGTAGTTACTGAGATATAAAATTGTATCGAAATGTAGGCGGTCCATTGCCCAATTTTTAATTTGAGTCCAATGCAAGCCTTTCGTACCATGTTGGGTGTGAAATTTAAAGCTTTTGATGTAATTATTTAGTAAGTTATCGTGCTTTAAATAGTTTTCAGCATAACCGCTATAGAGGGTATGGATTCATTGTTATTATTTTCACAGCGTATGAGGAAGAGCTAGATAGGCTTAATTTCAGCAAGTTTGGTCGAGTTAGCTTCCATTGTTTTTAAAATATATACTTTAAGGCTGTTAGGGGGCGAGCCACTCCCACATTTTCGGCCCACAGATGCGAATTATTACGACGTTGCCCTGTACAAAGTACAGTTCTGTATCTTAATTGGTGGCTTAGTTATGGCACTTTATAAGTTTTCGATTAACGGGATTTTGTGGGCTTGGCAATGGTTCGATTATGGTCATATGCATAACTCACTGGGGCGTCAAGGACTATACATATGTATCAAGTTTCATCAAAACTTCTAAATTTTTATTCACGTGCAGGGGCAGACGGACGGACGGACAGACAGTCGCTCGGAATTCAACACGTTTTGTCATTTTGATAATTTGAATATATACTTATAACTCTACATCTTTTTCATGCAACATGTTACAATGGTGTAAAAATTAATGACTTAAAAATTTTTACATTTATCATGTTTGTGCATATCCAGTTTTGCTGACTCCCAACCCTCAAATTACCCGTATTTATTAGCTGGATTATCTATTTATAAAGCTAACTTTTTTCATCCGATAGATTTTAGATGAATCTCCAAGGACTTATGATTGTCACCGCAAGGACCTTGTTTTTGGAACTGGGTCAACACATTTTTGAAATTTTCGTGACTTCAAGTCAAAACATTGTATAATAATGCCATATTACTACTTTTGTAAAATAGCATACAAAAAAATTTACTGACAATTCTCATTTTTTTCCCTTAAGGTACCTCCCATACCAACATCAATATATAAGGAGTAAAGTCAACTAGATGTTTAAAAAACACGATCTCTCAATTTTATTAAAATAACTCACATATTTGCCGATTATGAGATATAAAATCAGCCGGAAGCTCGACAATCTTTCTATTAGGTATATTGGGGCTAAAGGAATTATTGTTCCGATTTAAAACATTTTTGGCATACATTCATATCATTATCAGAAAAGAACTTTTCGATAAAAAGTTCACAATAGGAACTGTGGTCCACATATTTGCTATCAAGGGGCTTGAATAGTTTTATGTCGATTTGAACAATTTTTGGTGGTAAGGTGGCACACCTGAAAGGTACTATTCGTGCGCAGTTTTGGGAGCGTGGCAATTCCGCCCATCTGTAATACGAACTCTTTTTGGGCGCCAAGGTACATATGTACCAAATTTCATCAATATATCCCAATTTTTACTCAAGTTATCGCTTGCATGGACGGAAGGACAGACTGACATTCAGTTATTTCGACTCTTCTCAACACTCTGATCATTTATATACACTTACATATATAACCCCATATCTATCATCTTGCAAGATTATAAAAATATTGCGAAAGAATTCAATATTCATTATTCAACGAAATTATGAATGGATCACAATCATATTTGGTGTCTAACTTAAATAGGTCATATAATCAGAAAATCCGATATATTTATTTTGAAAACAATTTGACTAATACAAATGTCCATAATCTTCATATTAGTGCTGAGGGAAGACACACACCGATATCCACAATATTTGTGTCGGAATTATGCTTCCAATGAGATTTATGACACATAAACCTAACCAAAGGAACGAAATTTAAAATATTGGGTATATTTATCGAAATGTACGGTATCAAGTATACGTGGCGGTTACCGTTTTAGTCCATTGGGACCAAATTTGGTCCATTTTTTTCTTTTGGGCCAGTGATCCACCACTTTGTGAAATGATCCATTTTAAATGCTATGCTTTAGAAAATTTTCTTTGTCCAATAAATGAACAGGGTTTTTTCATTAACGCCACAATCATATTCAGTGGCAGGGTTGCTAAATAGTTTTCCGACTGTTCTCCAAGCTATCGAATCTGAAAATATTATACTAAACAGCTGTGAAATTTGGGTCAAGTTCAGTGTTGACAGCAGTGAAGATTTATCTTTAAAATTCAAATTTTTTTGGTAAAATCTTGAATTAATCAAGATATCTGATAATACTTGAAGATTTCTCTTTTTAAATTTGTTCGATTTGTGAACACTTTCATTACATTTGGTCGGCAAAAGATTTTTTTAAGTGCTCTTAAGATCTCATAATTTAAAATATTTGGCACTATTTTTGTCTTGCTATGCATATTTACAATACATTATATTCATACTACAATATATTTATAATAATAATATGTTTAGGGATAATATATTTTGGTATTTTTTATATAGTATAGTAGATGTAATATGTGTAATATGTTCCTATACTCGCGTACCTGAAACATGTACTAAATTAAAAATGAGAATGATCTCAAGTGAAAACCAAAAATTTAACATAAAAAAATTACAATTGAATTAATTACGTGAACGTATATTTTTTTTGTTTGTGGAAAAATATATTTTTTTTTTTCTCACACTATACACCAGACAACACCTCCTCATTTTATATATTTTCGGTATAAAGTCAGGAGTAGACACAGGAGTTCACCTATTCGGTATCTAGGGGTTTGAAAATTTATGGTTTGATTTGGATCAGCTTTCGTGGAGAGATATATATTACCTTGAACGCACTATTTTAGCGAAGTTTTATACCGATGTCTTATTGAGTGCTTGATATATTATACATATGTATATGTATGAAGTGTGTTCAAAGCAAAAAGTGAATTTTGATTTTTCGCGGGCTGTGTATATTCGCTATTTTGCTTTTGTTATAATCGGACACATACATATGTTTATCAAGTGCTTGCATTAGGAGCCAATTTCGATTAGTAGTTTATTTTTGACAAAAAAACAGTTAGTCACGTTTTTGTCTGCTCTTCGATTTTTGACTTTGAAAGAATTGAATAAAAGAATATGTATTCAATTTTGCGTTACTGTGGCATTCGGTGAGTCCAGTCCAAAAAGTGTTTATAAGTGGTACAAGCGCTTTACAGAAGGCCGAGATGGCGTTGATGACGATGAGCATCCCGGAGGTGCGACCAAGTCAGCAAGCGAAGAAAACATCGAAACAGTGAAAAAAATCGTTCTTGAAAATCGCTGTTGGTATATCAATCGGCCCATGTCATTAAATTTTCTCGAATTTTTTTGACATGAAACATGTGGCAGCGTAGTTTGTTCCGAAATTGCGATAATGCACCAACTCACACATCATTGGAAGAAATGATGGCCATACCGAAAAACGCATTTCAGAAGTGATTCGAGGATTGGAAAAAACGTTGGCACAAGTGTATTATACCCGAGGTTGATTACTTTGAAGGGGACAAACTAGATAATGATGAGTAAAAGGGTACTTTAAAAAAAAATTCAAAATTCACCTTTTCATTTGAACACACCTAGTCCTTGTATCGTGAAAAATTATATGGAATTTAAAAATGTGATGTTTGCGAAGTAGGCGTGGTCACAGTCTGACTTCGCTAATTTTTACAACGTAATATATACTCATATAATATATGTATACATACATATATCCGACAGTGTGAAAATGGATGAACTCAGATTATAACTCCGGCCACTCCCCATATAACGAGTTTGTTAAAAACTACTAAAAGTGTGATAAATCAATAAATAAATGCGTCCGAGACATTCAACTTGATATCCGAAATGGACGATAGGCGTGGCATAGCTCACATTTAGGGAAAATCACGTATCTTAGGACCTACTTGACCAATTTCAACCAAATTCAGTACGTACTATTATCCTAACATTCCTATGTTACAGTACGAAAATTTAACGGCGAAATCGGCCCGCAGCCTCGCTTACTTTCCATGTAGCACAATTTTAAATTCAATCTGATTCATGCACTTTCCAATATAAAAATCAAACACCAATGAATATGTATACATATGCGTCTAAGTTATATCGGGATAAAACTTTGCACAAATAGTGTCTTTAAGGTGTACCACCTTACGACCAAAAATTTTCAAATTCAGAGATCAACTGTTCAAGCACCCAGATACTGTTGCTATTTTTCAACTGAAAATATTCTCCTAATAATGGTTTGTTTGTATGTTAAAAATGGGTTTAATCGGTACAGTACTTCTCGGTTGACTTTACACCGCATATATCGGCCAATATGTTAGTTATTTTAATGATTGAGAAAATTGCTTTTCTGATAACAATGTATCTATGAAACTCAATGAGCATCGTTTACTGTTACAATAATAATATGTGGTAATGCCAAAAATATATAATCGAGTCAAGAAAAACCCTATCTCCCATATACCTAATATAAAAACCTATAATATTGGATATACTATAGTTTAATGCAGAAAATATTTAAAATTTGTCTACAAATTACTCAAACTCCCAGAAACTACATATAATGATATATGGTAATTATAACAATTCTAACAAACCATATGCCGAATATGGCGATCAGTGTATGAGTAATATATTTATGAAATTGAAGGTGATTTTAATATAATTTTCGCTGACGGGAAGTAAAATATAGTGATAAGACTAAGTGAGGGTATGACCTATAATATAAATTAATAAACTACCAAATTTGATTGTTATTAATTCACGATTTCGTCAAATAATGAAAGTTTAATACTTTCGCAACATGTTTGCCAATACCTGAAGATATTTCCCCGGCTTTGATCCTTGAAATTTGCAAAAGTATAAAATGTTCAGTTACACCCTTATCTTACTTAATTGTCATAGGTATATTGTATGTTGTGTATGTATTACGCTTAGCATAGAGATTTCCTTACCCTGGATCGTTTGGCACCTCTGATGGAGAACCGGTACTCATCTCTTGCGACTGACTTACTAACTCCATTTTCATATCCATTTTTGGTATAACGGCGATCGCCTTTTGGTATCTAAAAATTCAATTGATCTCGTTGACACGATGAATTTGTCGGCTTAATTCCAATTAGCCCTGTTGAGGTATGCACGTCTAGTTGGCGGTTAACTACACACACTATATCTAAGGATATAACTATGGCTATGACTAAGAGACTCGGACACCTTCCTCAAGGGCATAGGAAACCTATCGCATGCATTACCTCAGGCAACAAGGTAAGATCTCACGTCGATGTCAATTCCAACGCTGTGTATTAACATGGATAGGCGAAGATTATAATGACGGCGACGAGTGTAACTGAATCCAATTCCGCCTGCGCAACGATCGATTTCTAAACTGCGCACTACTACAACGCTCGTAGTCTAATTGATACATATGTATATATACACATACATAGCCACGAATATGTAATTATTAAGGCTGCGCGCACGATTCTGGACTTGGATTAGTCAAACTTATACCACATTCTAGTTCAAGTAGCTTTCCAAGATGTTGTTGTAGCACGAATTTAATTGCACGATAATTTCATTTGATTTAGATTTAACTTTATTCACTTAATTTTTATTCTACTTATATTAACTAGTTCATATCATAAATATTCCAATGAACCACCATGCATCGCCGCGTGCTCGCTATAAACTACAAGTTCGAATACCCGTCGGAGGAGCTATACTTCTTGTAAGAATTATGTACATATGTATGTATGTAGTCTATCGCACACAGCTGAATTCCTTGCACTTAAAACGATAATAATGATAAATTCAAATTCAGAAATCAGAAATCAGTTCAGTTTGAATTCGTTTGTATGCATTACTTTGAAAGTTAATAGGCAAACACTGTGTCCGTGGATCACCGTATTCGTAGAAGCTATTGGCAACAAATATTATTTCTACAACATGGCAATTACACGGATTACACATAAACGCAATCGAAAGACAGAATTTTCTTTTCATATTTAATATCATTATTAGTAAAGTTAGTCTTCTTCCAAAAATTATTAATTTTGTAGGTAGCGTTTAATAAAATTCATCTACTAGGTACTAGAATCAGTCCAACAACCTTGACTCGCTCTCGTTAGAATGAATCCGTACATAGGATAGTGTAGGGAAGAGAGAACAGTGTAAACAACTCTTAAGATCGTTGTTTGAATGATTAAAATACCGACTCTGCCATGAGCACGTGATGCTATATACAAATTAGGGCAAACATTTTTCGAACAAATGAACTACAACGTAAAGAATAAGTTCCAATGAGTTGGGAATTTCCGAATGGTGGCGGAGACCACCCTCCCGCTCAAAATAACAGAAACACCCAGGATGGATTTCATGTAGCAGCCAACGGACGTAAAATATTCTATGACTTAATTACATAAGGCCGCATATTCATATATAGAAACTTGTACTGAGAAAACACAAATACCTGCGCACAATTTTCGACTCAGATCTATTCGTTTTATGCAATTCACACAAACTTTTTTAAGTACCTTCCCACCAAACACGCATATTAAAAGCTTCCCTTGAGTACGCTTTGCAAACCACTACTCGTATTTCGCGCATTGTCGATCTACTTGTATGCAACTAGTTAGATCGCCGCTACAACAATCGAAAACACGTGACCGCAATTAGTAGTAATTTTGAACGTCTCTGTCGCAGTTACCGACAACGTCAAAGCTACTTTTCCTGCTTCCATTAGCAACAGATATTGTAAATTAAATAATTTATACTCATATGGGGACTGAGACGACAACTAAGCTGCAGAGCTCAAAATACTCTCACGGGGCATATTTTAATTTCAGCAAATAAAATCCAATAAACAAAGACTACTTGTTGAAAGCCTTACTGTAGGTCAGAAGTAGAAGGAGGGTTGGTAATAGCAGAAAATTTCACGATACATTGAATCTAACTTGCTGGCATTTTATTGAACTCGATCAGCATTGATTGATGGAAATCGAAAGCGAAATGTGTAATGGAATAAAACGAAGTAAATTGAGAAAGATAGTGAAAATTCAATGGAATATAGTAGACGGTTTTATTGGGTACTCAATAGAAAGCACATAAGAAGTGAATAACAAAAAATATTTCATATGATTTAACTGATTTATTTGTATAAAGAGGTGAGAATATGCCTACTACCGTAACGGCAACTTTGCAGAAGAAAACTAAATACTTAAGCACTTTTTTAGTAGCTGGAAACATTTTTGGAAGTTATTGAAATGCCTGGTTCTTCACCAAATAGAAAAAGAACTAAATATCAATTTATGGAATTGTTTTTACAAGGATTCAATTCCCTTAGCTGAATTCAACAATGGAAAAGATATCGACTGACTACAATACACTAAGTGTGAGACTCTCTAATGTCATTAAAACAAAGTTAGTAAGACGCTAACATCTTTGCGATTACTACGTTATAGCGTTTGGAAGCAGAAGTATCTGAACGGCCCATGAAACAGTTTATGGTGCACCCTTAGATAGATTAGAATTGAGATATGCACCGCGCCCTAAGGTCTGCCCTCCCCTAATTCACAAGGACTCACCTAGCCCCAGCACATGATGAACTCCAATATACAGTGATAGTGAGGCGATGTGATCCCTATTTGCTATGCAGTCTACTAGCAGGTGTTCTGGGGTTTCCGGCTCCATGTCGCAGAACCGGCAGTTTCTGAGGTCGTATCCCCTCATTAGCAACCTGGTATGGCGCATGCCTTTGAGTTTTTGCTAATGTCTCTTCCTGCCTACTATTTCCCACTATCAACCGCAATGCAAGATTCTGGTCCTACAATTTTTGTGGAGGCTACAAAGCGAGGCAGCTTGTCAGCCGGTTATACCCCCGGCCGGCTATACCCCTGTGACCAGGCACCCAAAAAAGGTGCACTTTGCGGTTTGATAGGCTATCCTATACACTCCTGCACTAGTAGCAATTTGACCTTATAAGCAGGTTAGGTTCATCTCTACACACCGACTTATAGCATAGACTTCCGCTTTGAAGATGCTTGGAAAACTTCTCATGGGAATGGAGAGTTTGGTGCGTAGTCTTGCGACTCCTGCATCAATTCCCTCCGACGTTTTCGAGCCGTGGTGCACCCTTATTGACGCTATTGAGAGGCGTTAGCTATTAAAATTTGGTTCGTTTTATCTAATCCTGCCTCTCAAGAAATGGTAGCCGCGCACACAACCCACTGTCACATTATCAGAGTTTAGTATAAAGAAACTACAACCAAACCGCTGGAAATATATAAAAATGCCGGAGCGATTCCTGTTTCTTTTCATTGCCATTTTTGAACAAATGTACACACCGCCATAAAACATCAAAAATGTCACGATTTCCGCTTAAATTAAAGAAATTTTTTGGACCCGCGCATTTTGGTCATTACGACTAGCACTATTTATCTAACTCGGCATAAGTATAAGTAAATAGGTAAAAGATTTTGATTAATCCATTAGTGCGCTTTAATTGGTGAAAAAAGTTGGGATCCCCTTGGGTGTCAAAGACTTTCGCAGCGCCTCTTTGGATTTTTCGTTACACTATTCAGTAAATTGCATGCATGTGCGATTATGTTTTCTTTCACGAAATTTAATTTTTTTTATGTACTTTTTTGCATTAACTCATTTTTTTAATAAATTGTATTGCATCACTTTAAGAATATACAAAAAATAACAAAAAACATCACAAATTTACAGTTTTCTTTGTGCTATATTTGAAATATACATATGTATGTACACACGTTCATTTGTTTTTTTTTTTGTAGATGACTCTGCGGTAGCGAAAACTATTTTTTTCTTATCGAATTTGCATTGGTATTGCGGGCGAGTGATTTTTGCGTTGATTGCGGCAAACGTTTGCCTTTTGCATTCCTATTTAGCTATTCGACCAAGCTCCACAAAACAAACGCTCGCGACAACTTCCTATGCGATACTGAAATCCAAACCGAGAAACTATCAGAACTCAGGCGAAATGGCAGAACGTATTTTGAACACAATCAACCGACCGTCGCTGCTGTTTGAGCGTCAGTGTGAGCAACAAAAACACTGGGAACAACAACAGCAATTAGCTAACACGCCAGCGACCTACCAACAATCGCACACACACATGCAGATATTCGCGTAGCAACGTAAGGCAGCAGCGACGTAACCTAAGCGCCAAAAGTCGAACATCATGACAGTCGCCAGAGCTGTAGCCGGCAACACAAACGCTAACTAGTAATAGTTCCAACGACAAAACAAAAAATATATGCATGCATGCATGTAATGACAACTGCAATTGCGAGAATAAAGCTGCGCGCGAGCAAACTTCAGCAATGATGTCGTCGAGTGCAGCACCCACATGCGCCCGACCGTTACCACCATCATACCGCCAATCATCCCCATCACACAGACACTGCCGCCCGTCGTTCATCTCTGCCTCTACTTCTGCCGCTGCTTTGCTGCAACCATTAGCTACCGGCGAGCGGTTAGCAGAGTTGAGATACTCCCGCTGCATCGACAGCAGTGACATTGGAGCGCAAACGAGTGCCCTGCAAAACAGCTGATAACACAGCGGCGGAAGCAGAGCACAGTGGACAGAACTTACATTATTTACATCTGCAGACTTGCATTCTCACATGCATACACATGTATATAATCACGCAAGTACATAAGCTCATCTGGATGAAACACACCGTCGAACTTTATTTCAAACAATTTGTGTTGTTGTTTGTTGTGTTATTGTTTACCCAACTATCACTGATAAGACAGTACTGCAGACATCGTTGCAGCTGCATCCAAATCTCAGAGAAACTGAGAGCTAAGAGCAAAAGTGAGTTTTTTGCTATCGAACAAAGAGAGAGAAGCTTTTAAGAGCGAGCGTCAGCTGTTCATAATTGCGGCTGTTTTTAAATCGACTCGATTCATACGTCGTGTTTATTTTATAAGAGGTATACTTAACGTCAATGTGGCGCACAGTATGTTATAGAAGTGTTTTACATTTCGGATTAAATATTAGATATATTGAAAATTTTTATTTTTAATTTAAATGTGTAAGTTTGTCGACCACTGCTCTAGAGTACTAGAGTAGAGAAGATGATGGCTCTGTGCAAGCTCTAGATTAAAATAGTTGAACGCAGACGCGAAAAAATGTTAATTCTAAACAATTTCGTTTTTAATTCTTAATTATATGCTTGGGATTAAAATGTTTGCTTTTTATTTTTCAATCCGATATTTGGGATTAAAAAATGTTTTTTTGTTACTTTTTAATCCGTATTTGGAATTACAAAGTAAAAAAGTTTGAATTTATGGTTAATTCAATTTTATTTTTTTTTAATGCATTACTTGCAACCCTCATCTTTCTTCATAAAAATTAAAAAATGCTTCTATAACTGTTAAATATCTAATTTTTATTCACAACATCAGTTAAATATCTAATACTAAATCCAAAAATGTTTAATTAAAAAAAAGCAAACCCTGGGAAAGTGTTAGTATTAAACCTAAAACTAATTGTGATAGATATGAAGTTATCCATGTATATATAAATAATCGAATGTCGTGTCAATTCCAAGTGACTGTCTGCCCGTCCGTGCAAGCGTTAAATTTAGAAAAATTGAGATATCGTAATGAAACTTGGTACACATGTTCCTTGGCACCCAAGTATTGCAAATGGGCGTAATCGGAAGATTTCCACGGCCACAAAATGCCATTAAACGAACACTTATAAAGTGACCCCATCCCTTAATAGGAGTAATATACATATCTACAAAATTTAGTTTAGATTTTAGTATTTCCTCCAACAATGCGATAATGGATTAAATCGGATACAAACCACGTTCACTCCCCATTTAACAGTTACTACTATACTTACTATAACTACTAAAAGTGCGCTACCTCACTAAATAAACGCGTCAAAGACATTAAATCTTACACTCAAGTTACTAAAAAAGGCCGGTATCTAAATTGCACATTAGGCGTGGCGCCACCCACCTTTAGGCAAAATCACATATCCCAAAACCTCTTTGACCAAATACAACCAAATTCTTAACATTATCCCAACATTTCTATATTACTGGTGAAATCAGACCACAACCAGGACTTCTTTCCATATGAAATATATTGGATATTTATTGCAAAGTTCTATGCACAAATATGCTTTATGATACGCTATCTTAAGTCTAAAATTGCTCATAATCGATCGCAACTGTTCCAGCACCCAGATACCGAACAATTATGTCAACCTCAGTGCCTATTTCTGACTTTTTACCGAAAATATCGGCCAATCTGTGAGATATAATAACTTTAGATATATAACCACATGTCATGTCAGGTCAATATAACAAATAAAATTTTCGAAATTCCGGCTCACTTTATACCGTATGTGAAATATCTTAAAGAAATTAAAATAGAATATAAATGTAATAACAGTGTGTGCTTCTAATGGATAAAATCGGGTCAATATTACACAATTTACAATTAGGCATATGGGATACTTCCCGTATTTACCCGATTTTATCCATTTTGAGCACAATGACACCTGTTAATCAATCGTAAGTTCGAAAATCTTCAGATTTGGTATATGAAGACTAGGATAAATATTCACCCGGTTTTTTTCATCTTTGGTACAAGGGTACACTGTTATCAGAAAAAACGTTACTTCGAATTTCAATAATATACCGTAATATGGGAATGTCAGGATAATGTTATACACCGAACCGGGGCCACGCCCAATTTTTAAATTTTCCAAACTACAAATGACCTTACCTTATGTGATTCGTTGTACCAAATTACAGTTTTGTATCTTAATTTAGTGCTTAGTTATGGCACTTTATAATTTTGCCGTTAATAGTATATTGTTATAAAATGTGATCAACGAAAGCTGAACGATTTGCTGTATATATAATATATATATAAAGGGTGTTTTTTTAGAGGTATAGAACTTTAAATCGCAATAAAACAACGATGGATTATTCGATTGACATGAATTTGATTTATCCGAAAGATAATCTTGTGGCATTACTTGTGAAATATGATTTCTAGCATATGACCGCCACGGCTAGCTCGGATATAGTCCAATCTGGACTTCCAATTTTCGATGACTTTTTCCAACATTTGTGGCCGTATATCGGCAATAACACAGCGAATGTTGTCATCCGATTGGCGGTCATCAAACGTGTCTTTCAATAAATCGATTGTGGCACGAGCTGTGTGACATGTTGCGCCGTATTGTTAGAACCACAGCCTTGACAGCTGTTAAATCGGTCGCCATCTTGAACAGTAATGCCAACTTAAAGTTCTATACCTCGAAAAAAAACACCCGTTACATACTTATGTTAAAGCAGAGAAGATACTTCGATCCCGAGCTCAGGGCGTAGGAATAGCTGTTTTAGAAACTTCTAGATCATTAAGTTGCGGACTCTTAAATTTATTTTATTACTTCTTTAGATAATATGCCTTGGATAGGGCAGTTAGGGACACATTGGAAGAGCTCATGTAAGAAAGGTTCATGTTCGAGCTAAATACTACAGCACAAGTGAAAATTTAATTTTAAATATTAAGCTCCGCTGCTTTATTTATAAATACAAGTTTGAAGGTCCCTATATGGATATAATCTGTGATTCGATCCGGCCAAAGCAATTGCGGATATCTCTTAGGTTAAGTTGTGGAAAGCTATAAATCTTTAATTCAGAAAATCGGTTAGAATTAACCCTTCAAAAAGAGCGCCAACAAAGTTCAAATTTCAAAAAAGGTATTGCGTAATCCTTCAAATTATCTTCAAAAAAGGGTCAATGAATGTTTATGCAATTCAAGCCAAGAGGTTTCACATGCGAATTGTATTGTCTGATGCTAATATTAAAACAGTCCCGAATTTGAATATTCATAAAACTATGAAATCAATTTAGTATTTAAAGATTGTATTTTTACGAGATGAGACCAATAATAATAATATTATATACACTGATCAAAAATTGATGATGATGATGATCAATTGTTTAGACTAATTTCATTAAATTTTCAGAGATCATTATTACCCTGATCTAATGACTCCTTCGATGTGGATATGCTGGGAAGATACCATCCACTCTAAGGATTTAGAAATCTTACCTTTGTTGATTTAGAAATTAAATTACAAATGAGGAAGGGCTAAGTTCGGGTGTAATCGGACATTTCATACTCTTGCAACTCTTCAGGTGTTAGCAAAACTTCATGTTAAAAAATATTGCGAAAGAATTTAACATTCATTATTCGACGAAATCGTGAATGAATTAAGATCAAACTTTGTATTTTATTAAGTCATGGACTCAATTAGTTTTAAAACTTCTTTTACTTTTACTTCTCGTATGCGACAATTATATTAATATCATCCTGGGAGATCTATTTTTGACATTACTACATATTATTAACAGAAACAGATGCTCTATGAGTTTCATTAAGGTACCTCACATACCATCAACAATATGTAAGGAGTAAAGTCAAGGAGATATTAGTTATATTGGCGCTAGGGCAAGTTTTCACTCGATTTTATCCATTTTAGCTACAGAGATGCACCGTTAGGAAAAAAGACGCTCACACAATTTAGTTAAAATAGCTCACATATTGGCCGATATGTAGGATATAAAGTCAACCGGAAATTCGAAAATCTTTCTATCTATGTATATGTGGGCCAAAAAAAAATTAACCTGATTCAATTTTTTTTTTGACAAATAGACAGATTATTATCAGTAAAGGATTCTCTCCATATTTCAATAACATATCTCACACATCGACCAATATTTTCGGTAGAAAGTCAGCTCTGAGGTCTACATTTCTGGTATCTATATTAATCCCGATATAATAATTGGTGCTTGATTTGTATTCAGGAAAGTCAAAATATCAGATAGAATTTAAAGTTGTGTTATATGGAAAGTAGGCGTGGTTGCAGGCCGATTTCAATCATTTTCACACTGTAATATGGGAATGTCAAAGTAGTCCTCTGTACCAAATTCGGGTAAAATCGGTGGAGTAGGTCCAGAGGTATGTGACTTCGCACAATGTGGGCGGTGCCACTCCCGTCGTACAATCCTATCGCTCCTTTAAAGTCCTCTTGTGCCATCCTGGATGTAAAATTTAATGTCTATGACAAATTTAGTTAGTGATTTATCGCACTGTAAGTGGTTTTTAATAAAACCGTTATATGGGAAGTGGGCGCGGTCAGCATCCGATTTCACCTATTTTCACGCTATCGCAAGTGGTGTAGAAATGATTGGTACTGTGCAAAATAAATACATACATAGCTTGAATGGTGTGAGATATACGTATACCTTAAACCTACGAGTATTAGAGGACGGAGCCACGCTCTATTTTCTTGTTAATTTTTAAACCACAGGTGACCCACGTTATTATAATTTGTTGCACCAATTTACAAATTATGACATTTTATAAGTTTTCCATTAATAGCGTTTTGTGGGCGGGGCAGTGGTCCGATTACGTCCATAGACGAACTCGGCCTCCCTTTTTTGGCAAGTACACGTGTAGCAAACTTCATTGAGATAACAATGTTTACTCAAGTTACAGCTTGCACAGACGGACGGACAGACAGTCAGTCACCCGAATTTCAACTGGTCTCTTCATCCTAAGCATATATGTACATAGGTATATATACAAACCTATATCTATCTCGATTAGTTTTAGGTGATGCACGAGCATAAACATGAAACGCTATTTCATTGTATTTTCGCAAAACGTCCGAAACACAGCACGGAAAGACGAGAAAATTTACACAGTTATTAGTTTATTCCTGCAGAAGGACTTAACGGAGGCCTTTATTGCAAAATCACCGTCGATTTTGCTATTACATTCGATGAATGTTGAATAAAACATTACAATATGATTAGATATAGGGCATGTGACGCGCCCTTTTCTGCCCTCCTCCTGCACCATTATACACTATAGCTACTATCTACCCGTTCCCACGACAGTTGGGTCTATGTAACCGGAACGGACCCGGATTTTTATCCTGCCAAGGACTGTCAACTCGGCAGAATTCTGTCGTTACAACAACAACAACATAACTACTATCTATCGCCGGTAAGTTATAGATAAGGCAGGGTGCTGATTTACATTACGCCTCACATATCACTTTACAATTGATTCGTGATAGTATTTTGATCGTAATCGTTGAAGTTTGTGATTGTGTACTTGGAAACTTGTATTATATTCGTCGTGATAAATAAAATAATATAATTTAATTAAATGTTAGTCACAGCAAGGCGTGGGCGAGGTTTCTAGTATGAAATAAAAATGAAGGTTTTATTGGATGTATGAAAAACTTTATTTTTCAATGTTTTTATTGAAGATTATCGCTTCAATTTTTATTTTACATATTTGACTTCTCTCTTGATATTCCGATGCAGCACACAGATTGCAAAACTTAACAAGAAAACAAAAAGAACTAGCATTAAAGCTTATAATGACTCAGAATCGCTCGAACAGCAAATATCGTATCTACAGAATATTTAGGGCGTTGGGACAGGTTTCGGCGGTGGTGTTTCTTTACTCTCCTCTTCTTTTTCCTTGTTCCAATTTTGCAAACCCTTTGGTAATGATGTGTCTTCTTCGAAAGAACCTGTGCCTTCAACGAATTCTTCATATGTAGACTTCTCTTTGAATGGCCGTGGACCCAGCAGTTCAATCATATCATCGCGACTCAAGATTTCATTCTTCAATAGGCGCTCAGCTACTCGGCGGACATCTTCTTTGTGTTTAGTAAGCAATTCTGTGGTGCGTTGATGAGCTTTATGAATAAGAACACGAACTTCATTATCAATCAATTGCGCAGTTTCTTCCGAATAGGGCTTAGTGAAAACAGCATCACCCTGCTGGCCCGCGTCGAAGCTAACTTGACCAACCTTCTCGTTCATGCCGAATCGAACAATTTGGGCGTAAGCACTATCCGTTATCTTTTTCAAGTCATCCTGTGCTCCAGTTGTAATACGATTAAAGAATAACTCCTCCGCAACTCGTCCACCCAGTGTCATGCACATTCTATCAAAAAGTTGTTCCTGTGATAGTAAGTACTGATCTTTAGGCAAATACTGGGCATATCCAAGACCTTTTCCTCGTGGTATAATTGAAACTTTTAACAGTGGATCTGCGTACTCCAAGAACCAACCCGCAACCGCGTGGCCCGCTTCGTGATGTGCTACTGTTTTTTTTTCTTCTGGAGCTAATACATTCGTTTTTTTCTCCATACCCGCTATCACTCGCTCGATCGCTTGTTCAAAATTTTTCATCATAATTGAATCCAAGGAATCACGTGCAGCTATAAGAGCAGCTTCATTGCAAACATTCGCAATGTCCGCGCCGGTAAAGCCAGGTGTCAATGCTGCCATTTTACGAGCAAGATCTTGCTTATCCAAATCAGTCTTTAAAGGACCCAGATGTACCTTAGATTTAAAAAATATATATATTTGTGTGAAATAAATTCAAAGATTAAAAAATAACTCTATTATGATGTATTCAAGTGCTAATATCTAACTTGGTTTCAAGAAGACTGCAATTGTAGATGTTTGCATTTAAAATTTAGCAAGTACATATGTAAGCATACGGTTGGAATTGACAGATTCCCAAGACAGCCGAACTTTATTCGGCCCAGTGCTATTATTTAGGTTAAGGTTGTCTTCACTAGAAAAACTTCTAGCAGCAGGGTTGCTCCGCATCCTTCTGACCCGTGCTGGCATTATGTCCAACCCGAGCCCTTATAAATGTTTCTGCTGCGTTTGCGCCAAAAGGCTTTATCCAAACTCTACCTTATCGGGAGTGGACCACAAGTTATGTTGCCAATGCACTAATGCGACATCACCTCTATGGCCGTGCAAATTGTTCGCGCACTGAGCCTCCACTCTAGTCGAGTGGCCAACAAAGGACTAAGAAGCTTCGACAGGCAGCCTGACTACCAATCTGATCAGCCTACCCTTGAATGTCAGGGTATAGCTATCCGGTCAGGCGATGTCGAGCTCGAAATATTTAATATATACATCCCCTTTGTTAGATGTTGCTCAACAGGATAGCACCCGAACATAGATGCGCTACTTCGTGGTGAAAACCATATGGTACTAGACAACATCGTGATGCGCGTTAATGTTTGGCACTCCTGCCTGTCAAACAATCGTAGGGGGATCGAGCTGGCGGAACATATAGACGACTCGCATCAGACCATCTACCCGAATTTATTTCGATCGAGAAATCTTCCGACTTTTTTTCACCACCAACGAACCCCACTCATCTAACAGCTTTCTCCCTAGGGTCCGACGCCGTCGAAACAGCACGTTTCCTGGACCTACCGTGAGATGACTTCTATGACAATCAACCAGAACCTTACCACACAAGCGTGGATTGGATAACCGCTACAACAAAACCAATAACAGTAACACTAACAGAAATTCATAAGAATTAAATAACACTGAACGAATGAGTATTACACAGAACGTTAGTATAATTAAAAGATAATATTGTACGTTGAAGTATTTCCTTTAATGTCGTTATAGTTACCTTAAAAATGTTGGCACGTCCTTTTATGTCAGGTGCTGGAACAAATATCTGACGATCGAATCTTCCTGGACGCATCAGCGCTTTGTCTAATATATCAACACGGTTAGTCGCAGCTAGCACCACAACATTAGTGGTCGTATTGAAACCGTCCATTTCAACCAGCAATTGATTTAATGTGTTTTCTTGTTCGGAATGTCCACCAAAAGATTTACCACCACGTTTTCGTCCAACCGCGTCAATTTCGTCAATAAACAAAATACAGGGAGCATGTTTTCTAGCCATCGTAAACATATCTCGAACACGTGACGGACCTACACCAACAAACATCTCCAGAAACTCGGATCCGGATACGCTTAAAAAAGGAACATTCGCTTCACCAGCGGTTGCCTTTGCTAACAACGTTTTTCCAGTTCCAGGTGGACCTGTAAGCATAGCACCTTTTGGTATTTTTGCGCCGAGGTCAATATATTGTTGCGGATTTTTTAAGAAGTTCACAAATTCCATAATTTCGATTTTTGCTTCCTCACAACCTGCAACATCCCTGCAAAAGTGCAATATTTTATAAGTACTATGCATTTCATAATTTTTTTTTATATTATTTTTACTTAAAGCGTACGCCAATTTCGTTTGAATTTATAAGTTTCGCTGTGGACTGCATTACGCCCCCGAATAATCCACCGCCTTTTCTTCCACGACCACCGCCCATCATATCAGCTGAGCGTCGCATCATGTAAACCAAAAATCCGATTATAAGGAGTGTTGGCAAAAGACCCGTTAAAGCTGATGCTTCTACTTCCGTGCGGTATATTACAGGAACGTAATTGAGTGGTTCAATACCAAGGTCTGTCTGTGCAGATTCTAAATTTCGTTCAAAAGAGTCTACACTTCCGATGTTAAACCAAAGCACACCACTAGCATCTTGTGAATTTCCTGGAAGTATACGCACGCGAACCCACTTCTTGTTGACCACCTCCAATTTTTCCACCAGACCCTTATTTAGATAGCTGAAGAAATTTGATTAAGCAAATAATCAAACAAAGTAATAATACATACTTATTAACAAACTCCTTCCATGAAATTTCTTTATATCCCATTTCAAAAAATGCTATTGACGCCAGCAATGCAACCGCGCTTAAACCTCCAAAAAGTATCCATTTCTCCCGATCGCCTCCAGAACCTTCTCCTATTGGCCGACCACCGCCTCCACCAGTTCCACGATTTTCTTGTGATCCTTTTGAACTGTTTGTAAACATACCAAAACTCCAATCACTTTTATTTGTTGAAGATGTACTGGAGCTAGTTTCTTTACCAACTGAAGATTTACTCTCTTTCGATTTAGAAGTTTCACTATCAGATCTTTTCTTGTCCACTGACTTGCCTTCTTCAAAGTATTTTTCAAACCCTTTTGGTGGTTTTTTGCAAAAGTATTGCACTTGTTCCAACAAGAATTGTATTACTGGCGTTTGAATAAATTCAGGTGCTCCCATGACATTTCGATTAGAAACTCTCAAATTTAAATTGTTGGTAACATAACTTCTACGAAGGCACCGTTCCATCGCTTTCGCCGATTGAATCAATCTGTGCGCCATTTCTATCTAATGTTATTATACAATCCTTTTTTTTACGCTTTTGATTTACACCTTATAAATTAAATTTATATTCGTAGTTTTCGTTTTTGGTTATCCAACCGTTTGCTGTCCGGTATTTGCCCTTGCCGCACTTTTATTCTGTAACTAAAATATTTCGAAAATTAAAACTTGCCGATACTTAAAAATAATTAATTTGTAGTGTTTTTTTCTTTATTTTACAAAGAATATAGTCTATTTTAAATAGTTTCTATTCAATTTTTCAAGGAATAAACTACCAAATTTTGTCACTAATTTTGAGGTGGTGAAATAAGTCGGCGAACAATACCAAAACCATGTAAAAAAACCAGTGACAGATGACAATGCTGCTTTTTAAAATCTATTACCGAGTGCGTGTTTAAAAACTGTTTGAATATATAATCATGACGAAGCATTTATATATTATTTTATTATAATGTAAAAGTATGATATCAATATATGCAAATAAAAGGGTATAAATAAAAATTACCTTATTATATCAATCAATCTTTGCATCCTTTATAAACGTTTATTTATATTTTATTAGCAGGTATCTTATCGTGTCTAAATATCATCAAATATCCAAGTTTAATGTCGATTAAAACACTGATTAATAAACCAACTCTACTCGAGATTTCTGTTACATTTGTCATGAGATTTTTAAAGCCCAGTTGACAAGTTAATCCAAACTTTTGTGTACGTGTTATTGTTTATCCCTTTCTTGAGCAAAGGACTTAAGAGTTTCACGGTATGTATGAATTAGTTTCTACGCTCTTTCAATGAAATGGAGTTTCAGTAATCGTGACTTGCTGGTGATATTTTGTTGTGAATTAACGAATTTGTAGTGGATTTATCTAAATTCCTCAATTGAATATATTTCTGGTTTGGTTTGTTCGAATAAAGGTGTCAAAAATATGGCAACCCGCGGACGAAATAAAGCGAATGCAATATGGCGTCGTTGTGCTGTGTCGTGGGTACGTATTTGGTTGTGAAAATTTTTAAATTTTTGAAATATTTTCAATATTTAAATCAAGTTTGTGATAAATTTGTTATTTTCTAATATAAAAATGTTTAATGGTGTGTTAAAATATATAAAAAGTGCTGCAACTAAGATTGAAACATGAGAACTTTAAAAGAAAATTTCGCCGATTCAGAAGTATATGCTTTGCAGCGTCAAGCTAGGCGAGCCGTCATGAAAAGAAAATTCATCTTCGTATTTTCTTATAGATGCCTTTGCTAACGGAAATGTTGTCATGATAGTAAATAATTAAGTGTAGCATAAATAAAAAACCACATTAGTTAAACTAAATATATGTAAATATTAAATATCCTACCGGCTAGGACCTAGGTTACGATCTTAAATTTACACATGTATATACATAGCAATAGCATCGCGAACTTTGCGTACGTGTGTACACAATTCACTTAATGCACTTATGTGTATGGGCAACACATCAGCCTACAGAAAGCCTTTGTGGTTTTGTGGAAGGAGGTGCATTACAGCGTAGTGCAGTGAAAAATCAATATTGCATTTCTTGGATGCTCAACGTGGAAAGGCTATATAGCCTGAATCCGAACCATTGAGGGTTGGATGGGCGGGGTGTTTATATATATTTTCTTTGGGTTTTGAGATGCGAAAAAAATGTGTACATATCAAAGAAACTTTCTCTATATGCCGGTTATATGATTTTTACAAAGAAAAATAACTGGTGATATATTGTACTTGTTGGTTACTCAAAATGTACACTTTACTAGATCACACAATTCAATAACAGATTTCGTGTCCAAATAAAGATATATCAAAAATCAAACTTAAATTTTTGGTACACAATTTATAATTAATATAAACATATAGTTTTAATAATTTATTTCATAATCATTTATTATATTTGGCGATCAGATGATGAAAATAAGAAATGTTGTTAAACAGTTAGACTTAAAAAATCACAGTGCACGAAAATTCACGTTTTTTTATATAACAGATAGCTAAAGAATATAGCACTTGTTTCAAACTTCATCACTTCATTATTTTCATTGTTAAGTCAACTGATTTGCGCTTTTTTATTTTCCCATAATCGGAAAAGATTAAAATTGTTTTGAGTTTTTGGTGCTATTGAAATCATATTAAATCATATCATAGTAATATTGTGATCACAATTATTGAAATACCAGATTTTTTAATATATTTGTTATGTTTTGGTAACTTTGTGACATCTTTAAATAAAAATATAATATGAATTATTATACAGTATTTATACTTTGGTTTGGTTTGATGGACCAGCTCCTCCTAATTGTAAATGCGGTCCATTTTTGGGTTATTTTCAAAATTATTTATTACATCATTTCGTGTATTGAATCTATAACTATATTTATTAAAACATTTATGTACATTTATGTAATAATAAATATGTATATGATTGTAATAAATTTATATATTTTCAGCTTTTGTAACTAAAACTCCGTTTTGACATCACACTAAACTATTCTCATCATAATCTAAAACACCATCGAAAACGAAATAACAAAATCAACAAATACTTAAAAAAATAAAAAAAAAATAAAAATAAATAAAACAAGTTAATCAAACTACAAACCCCAACAACAAAATCGCGCACGATTAAGATATACCAATATTCTGAACACTGTTGCAGATGTTAAGAAGTGGTGGAGGAATAAAGAAATCCACACGAATACTTTCTTGTTCCCAAAGTTTAAATCAATCACAATAAAAAAACTTTCATACAATTTATGAATTAAAGAAGTCATAATTAATTTAATATCTTTTTAGCGGACAATAAGTAAAGTCTGTGCATTAAATACTTGTGAGAAAGTGCTTATTCGTACGTGCTCGTACGCGAGCTTTCGGGCTTTATTTTTTCTTTTTGGTCGAGTCCAGCCAAATAAACCGTAACGCCGATAATTTATCTAAAAAATACTCTTAATACTCAATAATTTTTGGAGTAGAAATTTAGTAAAATATAAACGCTATCCACTGGAAACGGTATTTAATAACGTAAGAATCTCAAAACAAATAAATCAATTTGGGAGGAAATATTATCACGCCTGACAATGTAATGATTGTTGTGAGAACGAGGTGAATTAAAAATAAACCGATTCTATCCGTTATGATACTCTGCCACATGGGAACTGCAAATAGTTAAACGGCTAAAATTGGAATCGATAAATCCATCATTATATTTTCATAAACTCATAAAAAACATTCCGAGGTCCGATACTACTGACTTAAAAAATATTGTCATCGCCAGCAGTTAGACTGCTTTTTAAAATACACACAAAGTAAATAAAGTTCAGCAGAAAATAACTACGAAAGGATCGTCCAGTCTTTCCTGCGCCAGTTGTGCTCACCCCTCAGTTTTGGAGGCAGAATATTCTGTTAAATTTATCCCAAACTCTTAATAACCACGTAATTGAAATAAACACTCCACCTATTCCCTTAAACACAGCTCCTAATCATTAAATCTTCATTGCATTCATACAGGTTTTAAATGTTAATGGAAGCAGTCCAACTTTAAAATACTAAACCACAATAAAAACAAAAGCAACAAAACCAGCAACAAAAAACAACTGAAAAGAAAAGTTTTAAAGTACAAAACGCAATAAGAAAAGAATTAGTTACAAGCAAACATAAATATAAATTATAAAAAAAAACTTTCAGAATAGAAAATTAAGAGTGTTGTGAAAAGAAATTTAAAACACAAAAATTAAGATCTAAGACTACAATAAAAAAAGCAAAACAAAATAAAGAACGATTCACAACAAAATAATTACATAGATATTGGGTAACGAGGGAGTGAAATAAAAACCAAAACACAGATAACGTAGCTTTGTATTCGGTGGTATATTTTATGATAACTAAGTGCGTAAAGTGAGAAAATCAATATAAAATAAATTAAATACGGTCATAAGAGCTAACGGTGAAAAACAGGATTTAACTTTTACCCACTGTTGACAATTAGACGGCATAATTCCTGTCGTCCAGGTAAACAGCAAATAAACAAATGCCTACTATGACTTGGTGCTTAGACGAAAGGGATATGTAAACGCTTTTGAAAATTTCCAAAAATAATAGAAATAATAGAAAATTTAAACCGATTGAACAATATCGAAAAGAAAACCAGGCGGAAGTGCATGACCAACGAAGCGATTTATTTAAAAAAATAAAAATATATATTGAAGAGAGCAGAATATAACTAAAACTACGTATCGAAGGAAATAGCTGTAGCAAACTAGTTGAGCCGAAAGCTGCAATGAATGCAGTGTAAAATAAAAATAAGTAAATAATTGCAAGGTAGCAACAATGAGTTTACACCATTCTTCAAATAAACATTTAAATAACAAATTAAATCTTCAATAATAAAAACATTATTATTTAACAAGGAGTGAAGGAATCGAAAATAGTAATCCAAAAATATATTTCCAAAAACTGAACTCAAATATTATAAATCACTTTTACATGTGAATAAATCATATATTTTACAATAATAACAATACTACTGGTTAACTACAAATATCTAGAGTATAAACAGATAAATATAAATATATGAATTAGCAACGAAAAAAAGGACATTTGTTGGCGAGCATTTGCGCGCTTGCTCTGGACACTCAATACGGAGATAGTCAAAGAAAGATCCGGGAACCAATCGCGATAAGCTGAAAGTCGGAACTCATTTAGACAGACTGCAAAAATAAACCGATGAAATTTATAACATATATTAAAAAAGAAAGAAAATAACTAAATTAATTTATTAAAGAACGTTTGCGCATGTGAATGTGTCTAGTACCTATAGTGTGTTTGTGTGTGAATGATACTATGCATCAATAACAAAATAAGACAAAATTAAATAAAGGAACTGTTTATAAAGAACAACAAAAACACAAACAAAAATTCAAAGAAAGATTTAACAACTCTGTGATAATTATTGTAAATTTATAATATAAAATAAAACAAAAAGTAAGGAATAGCAACAAAAACAAAGATTATTATTACAAAACAGCAACAAAAGAAATTTTCGTTAAATTAAATTGAATTAATTACTAGAAGTAAAAAATAAAATTTAAATATAGACGTAAAACTACAACACAAAATAGAAACAACTAAAGCAAATGCAAATGAAGATAATGAAACATTGAAACAAATTCGTGATATCTTAAAGGACTTCGATACATATATACTATAGTATATTATTATATTATATTTTATATTAATTAAGTGGATAATAATAAGCTTATATATATGAGCAAACAGACTTAAAACGCGAAAAAAATACAAAAGCATTAATCGAGCAGCTCCTGAAGTTTAAGAAACACTGAAATAAACTGGAGTACTGTAAGGAAACGTGCTAAGGACTAACGTAGTATATGAATAATAAAAAGACTTTGCTACATTTAAAGCTTAGATTAGTAAATAACAATAACATAAAAACAGCAGCCCAGTAACAAAACAACAACAAAAACCCAAACAGCGAATCGGCAGCAAAGCTATAACAGCTTAAGTTTAACTATCAAATGCTTTAGTTACATCTTCAAGAAATCTCTCTTAATATAAAAAATATATGTATATCAGATTTGTCTATATATAAAGCTAAAACTTTAGAACAATAGCAAACAAAACTCCTAGTGATACACAACAAGTAAAGTAGTGTAAAACGTATGAGGGCCAGGCTCAAACCATGATTGAGTAATGAGAAATTTTCGGCGAATCATAAGAAATAAATAATCACGTTTATAACATTTAGAAAGCAAATCATAACATCAAATGAGATTGACAGAATACTATTTAGCTCTCTTCATACAATCCAACAATGGCGCTGTGTTTCGGCATTTAACACATACATACAAAAACATTCAGAAAGGCTTTCAGTGAACTGTCACTGCCTCCATAAATAATAGCGTGAGCGTGTTATTAATCTAATAAGATAACATTACCGTCGAATCGAAATAAAATTTTCAAAAAAACCTACCAATTGTGCATAAAAAGGATTAGAAATTATATTTTATTTCGCGACTGTCTACACATTTTCTTCATTTGTTGCCATCCGTGCAGTTTGCACTTTAAATAAATTTGATTTACGACTGAATTATACGAACGCGCTTTCTTATCGTAAGAATTGATTTCAAGTCTATCATCCTTATCCAAAGTCCACAACACCAAAGTGTATCCCCCGAGAACAAAGCAATTGCAACACTCATTACCACCACTACTACCACTACCAACAACAAGTATTCCTCGTGTATTTAGCAACATGAATGCCCAATCAAAAGGTTACCGCGCAGGTGAAGGTAAATATAAAATTTATAAACATATTTTTAATAGGGGCAGTATACCTACTATTATCCCTTTATAAGTTTTGAGTTTCTTACACACATATTTCATATAGATTTATGTAATATAATTCACTTAAGTCGGCATTCAATATATATTTTTATTACATTGTAGCGGTTGGATTGTTTTATATACCATAACTAAATTCGAATATTAAAATTTTGAATTTACACTTACTCACTTATGCTTACTCACAAAGAAAATATTTTGTCTGTTGGGGTCCAAAAAGCGAGTCCCGTATTTAGGGTGATACCTTAAGGAGCCAGGAGAAATACTGAACCCCTTTTTTAGATTTCTTGGATTTCCGAGGTTTTAAAATTTATGATCCGATTTCGACCATTTGTAGATGGCAGGGATGGCATGTAAGGCAAACACTATTTGTGCATAGTTTTATTCGGTCCTGAGATACATATGTGGTAGCTCATTGTCCATTTTGTATACCGGTTCACATGCAACATAAAGATGGCACGAAAATATTCATTGTGAAGATATAATGCTCCTGTCGTTTTTATACACTGAACAGGGTATATTAAGTTTGCCACGATGTTTGTAACACCCAGAAGGAAGCGTCGGAGACGCTACAAATCATATATCTAATTGATCAGGGTAACGAGCTGAGTCGCAGACCCGACTGTCGTGAAAACGGTCCGTCTGTCTTTCCGTCCGTGTATTTTGGACAGGTCCTTTTCCCACCAGGACGCTGATTATTTGCCGGAACCGCCTATATCAGACCACTACAGCATATACCAGGTGTACCGGTATGAAATAACCGTATTCAAAGTATTGACCATTGCTTTTTACACATTCTCACTACCGTTCCGGCAATTTGTGGATACTATACGAATAGAAATGTTCGTCTGTTGAAGCAAACCAATCAGACATCCAATTTTTGACTTCTGCGTAGGAATCGAAGTATTGCTCAGAAAATGCGTGCCCCATCAATGAACACAAATGGTAATCGGAAGGGGCCAAGTCTGGTGAATACGCCTGGAGGGGTAGCAGCTCCCTGTAAAGTACTTTGATTGTATCCTGAGCCGCAGGTGCATTGTCGTGTAACAAAATTACTTTACGTGTCTTTTGGTCCATTTGCTGATTTTCTTTCGTGTATTTAAGGCAAAATTTCGCATGTGTTTTTTCAGGGTTTCATTTGTCTTTTATTCAATTCATTGTCTTTATCCATTTTTTACACTTTTGGCTCTTTCCCATAGCTTTCAAACGGTCTGAAATCGTTTGTTGTGCAACAACATTGCTGTAATTTGCTTTTGACTCAAAGTAGCATCTTCATCCAATATTGCTTACAGGTCGGCGTATTCAAACTTTTTTGGTGGTCATTATCGCTGAACCGTTGAAACCATCTTTTGCATGTTGCTTCCGATAGAGCATGATCACCATATGCCTCAACAAGCAGTCGATGTGACTTTGCAGTACTTTTCTTCAAATGGAAACAAAAAATTAAGGCTTTCCGCAAATCATCGCTTTCGGGTACAAAATTTGACATTTTCAACACAATGAAAAAATATGATATTGTTTTTTCAATGATCGTAAGGTTATTGAATAAGTTTGACTGATGTCATGTCAACCAAACAGAAAAAAAATGAAGGTTCGTTCACAACAAATGTTCCCTACCAACACATTTATATCTTACCTTATAGTAGTTCTTAGCATAACTGATTTATCCCGTTTACACTGTAGAGGAGGTGCTAAAGAGAATGTCTCTCAATAAGTTTGGTTGGTATAGCTTTAGAAGTTTGTGAGATGTATACTGAAACATATAAGGGGCCGGTACCTCACCCAATTTTAAAAAATTTTCTCACCGCTGATGGCCCTTCCTGTATTGATGTCCTATACCAAATTACAGTTTTGTATGCTGATGTTGTTGTTGTTGTAGCGGCACTTTGCCGGGTTGACAGTCCTTGGCCGAATGAAAATCCGGCTTTTGTATCCTATGGCTTAGTTATAGCAGTTTATCAGGGTGTTGGGGAATCCTAGACAGATTTGCACATTTGTCAGAATTGCAAACCAATTATGATTATCAATGGTGTCACAGAATCTAATTGGATTTTCGTCTTCTCAAACATACGCAAAACCAATATTCGAATCAGCTGTTTACTACAAGTAATGTGACTAAGAATAAATTTGGAAGCGTTTGATAAATTTAAAATATTGAATAAAGTGTTATAAAGTTTGCATGAGTTCCGCTATTTTAGATTTTATTTTATTGTAAGAAATAAGTAACGAAAAAATTACTCCACTTGATGCACCAGGGGAATCGCATGTGAAATTTGGCTTGTATTTTTATGCTTACATGCTTATTTTACAGATTTATATCACATTATCGACTGAATAAAGAGTCATTTGGATGGTAAATTACGTTTATTGCGTTTTGTAAAATCTCTCCAGATATATGTATATTCTCCATAAACTCAATAATTATGATATTTTGTGTTCTATTCGAATGTTTTTCCCTAAGAAATGTTTTCACTAAGTTTGGTTGTCAATACTCTACTATAACAGTTTGTGAGTAATTAAACATTTTTAAATCACTGATTCCATATTCACCTATTTGTCAATTACACAACGCATAAAAAACTGGATAATTTTATGTTTTTCAACTTTATATGTATATACATATATCTATACACATACATACATACATAGTATTATTTTTAGCATAAAAAGTAATCACCAGTGATTTGTTAACATACTTTAGTGTAGTGTTTTTAGTGCTAATTGGTACCAACGGTAAATATTTATATAAATTAAGTTACAAAATCATTTTTTTCGTTATTCTGATCGTAACACCCTTTTAAGATGTCCACTGACAGTGAATTATCTTCGGCGCTCATATCGCCTGTACTGAATTTATTAACCGCATACGGATAGTTGGTATCAGCTGTTTTTTTAACAAGAAACAAGTAAGGAGGAACTAAGTTTGAGTGTAACCGAACATTTCATACTCTTGCAACTTGCAAGGATCAAAGCAGGAGAAATACCTTCATGTGTGGCAAAAATTTATATTAAAAAATGTTGCGAAACAATTCAACTATTATTATGACGATAACGATAATGGATTACAATCGAATTTGTATTCTACTTTTATTAAGTTACTCCCTTAGTTTTATTACTATATTTTATTTCCCCGTCATCATTATAAAGACAGAGAAAGAGACGAGCTGATTGAGTTAATTTTGACATTGCTGAGGTATACTTGAGATAATATTTTCAAGCAATTTTGTAAATATATACCTTACAGATTGAACGACATGTTCGGCCTAAGGTTTCATAAACTAACGAAAATCAATATACATATGTAGTATTTGGGAGTTGGGGTAATTTATAGACTAAATTCACATATTTTTGGCATTAAACTATAGTATATCCAATATTATACGTTGAACTACACTATATCCATATTAATCAGATATCTTACTTATTGACTGATATATATATATACCATAAGGACAACCGGAAGTTTGAAAATCTTATGTTAGGTATATGAGAGATAGGGGTAGTATTGACCCGATTGTAGCTATTTTTGGCAAATAATTCACCAACATATATGGAGTAAAATCAACCGCATGTTTTAAAATTCTGAGATTAGTTAATTGGAGGCTAAGGCAAGTTTTCACCCGATTGTACTTATTTTAATCACAAGGATACACTGTTATTAGGAAAATACGCTCTCTCTTTTTTATTAAGATAACTCACATATTGGCTGATACATGCGGTATAAAGTCACTCGGAAGTTCGAAAATCTTATATTAGATAGATAGATAGATTAGAATAGAGGTATGTACCGCGACCTTTGGTCTATTGTACACTCCCCTAAGTCACAATGACTCACCTAGCCCCAGCGCATTGATGAACTCCAATATACTGCTAGGTGTTAATGAAGCGATGTGATCCCTATTTGGAAACATGGATTCAAGAGCCTTAGTTCTGCGTCTGCAGACTGCTATGCAGTCTACAAGCAAGTGTTCTGAGGCTTCCGACTCCATGTCGCAGAATCGGCAGTTTGCACAAGAGGCTAATTCCATGTTGTATAGATGCTTCTTGAGCCTGCAATGGCCTGTGTAGAACGCGACAAGTAGCCGGATTTGGTTCTCGGGAGATTGATTACAATTTTAAACCTTCTGAGGTCGAAACTCCACATTAGCAACCTGGCATGGCGTATGCCTTGGAGTTGTTGCCAATGTATCTCCCTGCCTACTCTTTCCTCCCTATGTAGCAGCTCCTCTGTGTCCAGGCACCCAAAAAAGGTGCACTTGGTTGCGGGTTGATAGGTTGTTCAGCCGTTCTATACACTCCTGCACTAGTAGCGATTTGACCTCATAGGCAGAGATCGCTTTTAGTTGCGTTGGAGGTTTATCTCTACACACAGACTTATAGCATAGATTTCCGCTAGAAAGATGCTTGCAATACTTCCCATGGGGATAAAGAGTTTGGTGCGTGGTCCTGCGGATCATGCACCAATCCCCTCAGACGTTTTAGAGCCGTCGGTGTACCACTTGATTGTGTTAGCAGTAGGTCGAGCATGGAATCATTCCATTTCGCCTTACTGCTAAGGGTAACTTTGAACTTCTTAGTGCAGCTTACTACTTAGGTAATGCTGTCTCTTGGGATAAGGGCTAATGGCATTTCATCACTTAGAGCCCTCATCTGCTGGGACGAGATTACCTTCCCTCTGCAGAGTCTGTTTGGCTGTCTGTTTGATTACTATATGTAGCGGTGTGAGTTCTAGCATTACTTCCAGTGCTGCAGTTGGGCACGTCTTATATTAGGTATATGAGGGCTAAGGGAAATATTGACTCGATTCAACCCATTTTCGACACTCCGACTTACTATCATCAGGAAAGCATTCGCTCCTAATTTTAATTATAGGTATATCTCACACACAGCGCTATTTTCGGTAAAGAGTCGACAATAGGCTCTGAGGCGCAAACTTCTGGTATCTGGT